TGGTATCTCGTGGTTTCTAATAGTTTATGTTTTAAGTTAGACCACATCAGACATGCTTTCCAAATCTAGTGACACCTCTCCAGTTATCTTCCTGTGACACAATGACAACGAATGGGAGCCAGGACTTGAGGAGGTAGACATGAGACAGGTGGTGGATGGAGAAAGTGAGGGATGTTTGGTGTTGCAGGGTCATCCCGTCCTCCATCCTTCTATTCCTAGCTTTGACTTGTGTTTTAGCCATTAAGAGGCCGGACACAGTGGGTTATTGCTGGAGATCACTGACTTGTTCCCTCCTGGCACCCATAGCTAGGGATAGCTATGAAGTTACCTTCCTTTTTTTTTTTTTTAATTTTTTTTTTAATTTATTTATGATAGTCACACAGTGAGAGAGAGGCAGAGACATAGGCAGAGGGAGAAGCAGGCTCCATGCACCAGGAGCTCGATGTGGGATTTGATCCCGGTCTCCAGGATCGCGCCCTGGGCCAAAGGCAGGCGCCAAACCGCTGTGCCACCCAGGGATCCCTGAAGTTACCTTCCTATCAGGAAGTGGAGTCTATTCATTCCTGTCTTTCTGCCTCTAGCCGCCACTCGTTCTTTCCAGTTCATTCTCTCTCCTCACTGCAGCCAGTAATTTTTCTCAAGTTTAAGCCTGATCATATCCCTGCTCAAAATTCTAAAATGGTTTTTCACTAGCTTGGGAAGAAGTCCATACCTCTCATTGTGACAGTTGAGTCCCTGATGGAGCCGACCCAGCTGATCTCTTCTTACAAGGCTTATACTTCCTCAGGGATCCCATGCTATGCTGTTGCCTCTGCTTAGGACACAATTTCCTCCCCGCCCTTTTGGCCATCTGCTGCTCAACTTTCAGGTTTCAACTAGATATCACTTCCTCCAGAAAGCCTTCCCTCAGCCCATCCTCTGAGACTGAGTGCCCCTCCTGAATAAGCCCAAAGTGTCCTGGTAGGCTAACCTTTCCCACAGCACTTTTCAGGGTCTGCAACTTTCTCCATTGTTAGACTGTGGGCAAGAAGAGGGGGCCCCAGGGCTTGTTAAATATTTGGGAACTGATTATTCCTCTGAAGCCCTGTACTGCGATTGTTTATCTGGCCCAGCAAGCGTCTTGAGGGCTGAAGGCTATTGCATCCCCATGTTCAACACAGTGCCTGGCACATGAGCCATGTAATCCATGGAACAGCAAGATGATGACTGTTGCTGTAGTTAGAGGTTCTGGAGCTGAGCAGAGAGAATGAATAGTGCTTAAATAGAATGTAGTGAAGTGCCTTCCATATACTACAGTGCTAGGTGAGTAGGAAGAGTGGTAGCAACCTGGCAAGAGCCCAGGTCTTCCAGAGGAGCTAGCTCATTGAATTGATTGCAAATTCATGTTCCTCCCTAGTTATTGTTAAAACATTGTTATTAGGATATTTCAAAAAAAAAGTTTTTAGGGGCAACCCGGGTGGCTCAGCAGTTTAGCGCCGCCTTCCACCCAGGGCCTGATCCTGGGGATCCGGGATCAAGTCCCACGTCAGACTCGCTGCATGGAGCCTGCTTCTCCCTCTGCCTGTGTCTCAGCCTCCCTCCCTCCCTCCCTCCCTCCCTCCCTCCCCCCTCCCCCCCTCTCTCTCTGTCTCTCATTAATAAATAAAATCTTTTAAAAAAAGTTTTTAGTTTTCTGATTATTAGCCTTTGACAGTTCAACCACTATGTTTGTCTGTAGTAGCAATTCTTAACTGAAGATCATAAAATTCCTTGGATTATCTAGCCCAGTAATTCCTGCCTGGATGCATCAAAACCGGAATTCTAATGTGATAAATCTGGTCTTGTGTGAGTCACATGTGAGGCCCGAGTCCTTATAATCTTTTCTTCTTGAATACTTTCAGGGATTGGGAGCTCATGATCTATAATGTATCACATTCTACTTCTGGATCAATATTAGGAAAGTCTCTCTTATATTGAGCTAAAATCCATCTCCCTGAAACTCTACACTTGGTGCTAGTTTGCCCCTATGGAGTATAATGGTCTTTGCCCTTTCCGAAGCAGGAATCCTTTGGCTCTGTAAATGCAGATCATATTGTGCCCCCCACCACCACCCCAACATATCTTTCCTCGTGTTTTCTCCTGCATAAACCTCTCCTGTTCTCAGACTATACCGCACAGGAATGATCTCCAGGTTTAGTGAGTTTTGTTTGTAATTGCATTAAAGTGCAGAGGACCAAATGGGGACAGTTCACCACAGCCTGGATTGACCAATCAGGGGGAGGAGAGGGCCTGCTCTCACCCTACCTCTTGCCACTATTTCTTTTGATCTAGCCTGTGATCACTTTTAATTCAGTCAGTTTGCAGTTGGCATAGGGTGATATTTTGTATTAATCCAAAATCTACAGGTCTTTCCTCCTTGCAACTCAATCCCTATCTGCTATAAATCTAATAGGGTTTTTATAATCAATACCTGGCATTTGTTCTGTCTTGTTAGATTGTATCTTTTGGTTCCAAACCGATTCTTTCTAAATAGGAAGCAGGCTCAGAACAGCCATACTTGTGAAATTAGGGCAGTTATTCACTGCTGCTTCCCAGTTTAGGGAGCAGCAACATGTAGGTAGTTGGTCATTAGAGAACAGCGGGACTGTATTTCTAACCAAGTCAGACTTGCTTCCCTTCCCTGCTGTACAGCACCCCCAACATTGTGCTGAACACGTTGCCTTCATTATCTTTAGTCCCTGCAGCAGCTCAGCTGTGAAATCAGGGTGTGGTCTGGATATATCCAGTTCATTTGAGAATGGTTTTAAGTAAAATAAAATCTCAGGTCTTATCCCAGAGATTCTAATTCAGTAGGAATGAATAACATCTTTTTCAGAAGCTTTCCCAGGGACCCAATGCACCTGTTTGGGAGTGACTGTTTCAGTTAGCAGGTTATAGTTGCTTGACTCTTGAACAAGACAGCTTGGGTTTGTCTTCCTCCCTCTAGAGCTTGCTGCAGCGGAAGCCTTCAGGGAAGATGGCTGAAAGTTAAGATGCACATTAAGTGTCAGGAGAGTAAAGATGTCTGGTGTTGGGAGTCCTGAGCTTTCTGAAGGCTAGGCATGCAGGCTTCTCTGGAACTCTGATGACTCACCAGGGTGAGGGCTCAGCCCAGTGTGACATGACATACAGAGGAAGGAGGGCAGCATTGTGAGATGATCAGGCTTCCTGGACAGGCAAAGATCCTGGGCACCTCTGCCCTTCTGGGAAACAACAGAAATGACCATTGTACATGAGGACACAGCTTCGTGTTCCCCAACCTTCATCTCATTATTCATCAAAAGTCAAGTGTTACAAACATGCCTGACTTAAAAAAAAAATGCTATAGGATAAAGATGGTACCTTTTAAACATCTGTTCAGGAATAACATAAGAGGATACGGAGGACCTCTGTGGAATGTCCAAACAAGACAGTAGGGAATTTAGGACTCAGGTGGTTTCATCTTCCACTTGTGCCCGTCTCCATCAGCTTTAATATACATCCACTGGCAGGAGACCAGGCCTGGAGTGTGGGGCAGGGAGCTAACTCTCCTGGTGAAAAGGCAGGCCTCAAACATGTTACCACCGTTTTGACTAATTTTTATCTAGTAACAATGTCAGAAGTGAAAGTGCTCTTTAAGAGGGACAAAATGAGGTGCCAGAGGGATGGTACCTGCCCAGTGTTTATAGTGAGCCAGACACTGAGCCCTGGGTTCTTGTACTCCAACATGCTGCTGCACCAAAGCACTCAGGGTAACTAACCTTGGAATGGACTCTTGTATGCAGAATGAAACGTCCCAATATCATTTAATGCATACATTTAAACAATTGCCCCAGCACCATTATTAGTGGGTTAAAAATTTCCCTACTGTTCTGCAACAGCACCTGTCATAAACCAGTTTTCATATACACAGGGGTCTGTCTACTGTTCCTCTGGTCTGTTTGTCACAGTGCCAGTATGATGCTGGCTTAATTGCCATTGCTCTTTAATTACATCATGGCATCTGGCAGAGGGAGTCTCCCACCTGTGTTGCATCACAGGTTTCAGAATCAACTTATGTTCTGTTAAAAAAAAAAAAAGTTGAGATTTTGACAAGAACTTTATAAATACATTTGGGTTTTTTTTTAATTTTTTTTTAAATTTGTATTTACTTATGATAGTCACACAGAGAGAGAGAGAGAGGCAGAGACATAGGCAGAGGGAGAAGCAGGCTCCATGCACCGGGAGCCCGACGTGGGATTCGATCCCAGGTCTCCAGGATCGCGCCCTGGGCCAAAGGCAGGCGCCAAACCGCTGCGCCACCCAGGGATCCCTATAAATATATTTGTTGAGGATCTTTATAATATCAAGTCTTCCTATCCACCGATAGGTAGTATAGGTCTCCATTTATTTAGGCTTTAACAACTTTCAGCAGTTTAATAATTTTGTCCACTAAGGTCATGAACATTTTTGATAGATTTAACTCCTGCTTACTTTTGGAGGTACTTTTTGTTGTTATAAATGGTACTTTTTCCTTGAATCACATTTTGTGTGTTGTCAGTGTACTGAAGTGCATTTGATTTCTGTATAATGATCTTAAATCCAACACCTATTAATAATGCTTTTGTATTTTGTAAGTGGAAAATCATAATCTGTGAAAATGAGTCATTTCTTCAATACTTTCCCCTTAACTTTTTGTTGTTGTCTTAGCACACTGGACAGGACCTCAAGCATAAGGAAGAGTAGCAGTGATCAACGGTGTTCTCCGCTCACCCGACCTCAAATGGAATACTTCATGCATTTCATTTGCTCTACATTCTCTACAGATCTACTTTGTGATGGGAGGGTAGTTCCTTTCTATTCTTAGTCTCAGAGTTTCTATAGTTGGTTTTATTGTTGAATGGATACTAAATTTTACTGAACACTTATTCTGCATCTGCTGACATAATCTAATTTTCCTTTAATCTGTTAGTGATTATTTGGGTTCTTCTACCTCCTGAAAAATAAGAAAATAATCTAAAATATAAAAAAGACCTTGAGATCCTTTTATTATTTGTCTTTGTGAGCTTCACACACACTGGCTATTACAGAGACTAAAACACAGAAAGGCTGCTTCTCAGGCTGCTTCCACTGATTTGCTTTCAGGCTGGGCAGCAGATTGGACCCTGTGGGTGACAGAACCTTATAGACCTGGTGGCGGAGGGAGGGCCACAGCAGCTCTGCTATGTCAGATGCAGAAAAGAGCATGTGCAGGGGCCAGGAACACAGGGAGCATAGAGGGAACACGATGGAGATGCCAGACTGGAGAAGAGACAAGGTAGGCATCTCTTTACCACCTGTGGACACAGCCAGCTTTACCTGAAATCTGAGGTAATGCCCCTTCCTAGTCCCCGCCACAACCAGTGTGGAAGTGGGCAGATCATTTCCCAGTGGGCCTCCCAGAAAATTAAGGTAATAATTTTTACTTCCAAAGAATTCTGGCTCCAGCAGAACACTGGAATAGTAAGGTCTCTCTTTGGAAAATAGTAAGTTTTCCAAAAGATGGGTTTCCCAGTGGGCCTCCCAGAAAACTAAGGTAATAATTTTTACTTCCAAAGAATTCTGGCTCCAGCAGAACACTGGAATAGTAAGGTCTCTCTTTGGAAAATAGTAAGTTTTCCAAAAGATGGGTTTCCCAGTGGGCCTCCCAGAAAACTAAGGTAATAATTTTTACTTCCAAAGAATTCTGGCTCCAGCAGAACACTGGAATAGTAAGGTCTCTCTTTGGAAAAATAGTACGTTTTCCAAAAGATGGGTTCACCAGTGTGAAGGCATGAGCATGCCCTTCTAATCGTATACCAAACAACTCTTTCCAAACAGAGTTGGATCTAATCGTATACCAACAGCATGGATCTAATCGTATACCAAACAACTCTTTCCACTCTGCAGGGGACCCTCAGACCCAGGGAACCAGGCCCACAAGACACACAGAGCCATGACTCCTGTCTTCAGACGTACACAGGGCTGTCCAGGGGTAGAACATGAAAGCATAACCACAGAGTGACCAAGCAGGACCAGCAGGAGGAACTCCAGGGAATGCAAAGGCTGACTTAGCAGAAGGAAGAGCTTTCACATTGACTCCTCTGATGGGAAGAGGACTGCCCCTCTCAGCAAGTAGACAGACTTGATGATGGTCCAGCAGGAATTTCAGAGCAGATTCATACCAGGACTGGACTGCCAACTCTAAAGTCCCTGCTGGCCCTGGAATATGAAGTGACATCAGCTAAAAATGCCTGGGCTTACTTGGGAGAGACGGTGGTCAATGGAGTGTTTTGGCTTAGGACCATGGGGCTCATGGAATCATTCCACAGGCCCAACTGCCCTTAGCACCATTGGCCTTGACACCTTAGGTCCTTTGGATTGACCTACCCTCTCCCCAAGGGCTGGAGCCCTTAGAAGCTACGCATTCCCGCATATTTTACAAATTGGATCTTAAACTGTGGGAACGTGCCAGGAAGCAATCAGAGACTTCCAACATGAATTGTTATTTGTGGAGGAGTTGCTGTCCTTCTGCCTGACTCTGCCTTCATGCAGCAGTGCAGCACAAACAGGCTTTATTAGTCGGCTTGGGGGGCTGTGACAGAGCCGAGCATGCAGGCTGTGAGGGCCTGGACAGCCCCTGGGAGACAAGGGACAAGGGGCCTAGCCTCAAGGGCTCTGCTGCTTGGGGCATGTTGTCCCTTCTCAGTTCTTAGAGGCAAGTGTGCAGGAAGAAGGTTCAGCACTTCACAAACTGGTGGGTAACCTCGTAGATGCCCACAGATTCCTGAGCCTTTTCGTCATAGTCCGTCCAGTCCTGTGGGGAAAGAAAGGTGGTTGTCAGCTTCATGAGATGGCTTAGGACAGTGTGGACAAGGGCACTGTGGGACTTTAAAGGGCCAGTTCAGGCTCTTACTGAGATACTCATGAATATGTATGTCCCAGAACAGAGCTAGAGCGCATTCTGAGCAAGTCACTTCTCCGAGCCTCTGTTCTGTCTTCTATTTAAAGAAGGGACAGGGACACCTAGAGGCTCATTGGTGGAACGTCTGCCCTTGGTGCAGGGTGTGATCCCGGGTCTGAGAATTGAGTCCCGTGTCGGGCTCTCCACAGGGAACCTGCTTCTCCCTCTGCCTGTGCCTCTGCCTCTGTGTGTCTCAAATAAATAAAATCTTTTAAAAAATTAAAAAGGGGGATCCCTGGGTGGCTCAGCAGTTTAGCGCCGCCTTCAGTCCAGGGCCTGATCCTGGAGACCTGGGATTGAGTCGTCAGGCTCCCTGCATGGAGCCTGCTTCTCTCTCTGCCTGTGTCTCTGCCTCTCCCTCTCTCTCCCTCTGTGTGTGTGTCTCATGAATAAATAAATAAAATCTTAAAAAAAAAAAAAAAGGACAACAGACTTCATGTTGAATGTCAAAAGCAGCATATGAGGGAACCCATGTAAAAGTATTTAACATAGTGCCAAGCCATGTAAGAGTTCAGTAAATTCCACTTGTCATTAGGTGCTATGCAAACTGAAGGAGGCTTCTGTCCTCCTTCTGAAGTCTCATCACAAGGCTTATGTAAGGCAGTAACCTGTCCAGTAATACAGATGATTTTCATTATTCATGGTAGTTATATGCTGCAAAATTACCACAAATACTGAATTAGTAATCAGAGAACCACTGCTTCCAGGGGAAATACAGGGTTAGGTAATCTTGGAAACCTCTGATGACATTTTCAACCAATCAATATATAATCTTATTTTGGGTAGGTTTCTGTTTAAAAACACCTTATAGGTAATTGATTCATTAATATTGAACTCTTAGCCAGCAGCACTATAACTCATAGCTAAAGAAAGCTTATCTAACATGCATGTTCTCCATTAGGCATATCCCAGACTTCTCGCTTGTGGGACACTAGATAGCACCTTTAGCACTACACTTAGGGCCATTTAAACACCAAAATCACCAACAAAAAAAACAAAAAAAATGTGGAGTCATCTTTGTTCACCAAAATGGTAATTCCCACCAGGTACCCAATAGTGTCCTGCAAGGCCCCCAAGTCCTGTACCTTCTCCTGCAGATTAATATCGCTGAAGACTGTCCCCGATTCCACACCCTCAGCAGCAAACCCTGCCTGTTGGTGACAGGAAGACAGCAGTTAGTCTGGGGGAAAGGAGGCACTGGTCCAGCATGTGAGGGCTGGCCAGGGAACAGGCTCTTCTCACACCACCTTTAAGATGGGAGGACAGAGGTGCAGTGCGAGCACCTGTTCTAGAGTAACTACTGCACTTCCCAGTCCTGGCAGCTCTCCCAGGACTGAAGTGGCTCCTTGAAACTACAGCCCTGGACCCCAGGAGGGGTAGACACCTTTCCGTTACCCCTACGTTCCTGAAAGACTCTGGGCATGTCATTCCCCTCTCTGGACCTTAGTTTTCTTGTTTAGGAAACAGGGATGAGAATATGGACTTGTCTATCTGCTTCACAGATTTGTCATTGAGGTGAAAATAAAGTGGGAGGAGCACTGGTTCTGGAGTCAGATAGACCTGAGTTCAAATGACAGTTACAGTGCTGTCACCTTGGGCAAGTGGCAAAAATCTCTGAACTTCTTTCCTTGTCTGAAAAATAGGATGAATAACTTCACAGGGTTACATGAGGATTAAATGAATATGTAAACATGACCAACACAGTGCCCAACATATAGTAGACACTAATAAATAACAACTATTATCCTTAGACAGAAGTCCTAGTCCATGGTCTCTGGATGAAGCAAAGTTATGCTGTTACTTCTTACATGCCTTCCCCAAAGACACAGGTACCCCAAGAAGACAGACACACCTGGGGCTGGAAATCAATTGGTTCAAGGCCTCGGCACTCAAACTCCACAATTGTCTTGAACTTCTCATTGTCTTCAGCCTAGAAAGGAAGTGTGTTAAGGGGGCAGGTCCAACTGGGCCCTTGGGAAGACCTCATTCCCCTATCCTTCCTGTAAGCCCAGAATGAGACTTGGGGGCAACTCCTCCCCTTCTGGAAGAAGACTGCATTGGGCACCTGCTCCTCATAAGACCTTCTTGGACACAGTTGCTACAGAAGAAAGACTGAGTTGTGGAGTCAGCCTGCCTGGATATGAGCTCAGACAGGCCTGCTTCTTTTCCCAACTGGGCCTAAGATTATCAGATTGGGCTGAGGGAAACCACTACTGGTTTGCTGTGAAAATCTGAACTATGTAAAGTGCCAGACACTGTGCCCAAATAGTAGATAAAAATTATCAAGATAAAAAATATAAGGGATCCCTGGGTGGCGCAGTGGTTTAGCGCCTGCCTTTGGCCCAGGGCGCGATCCTGGAGACCCGGGATCGAATCCCACGTCGGGTTCCCGGGGCATGGAGCCTGCTTCTCCCTCTGCCTGTGTCTCTGCCTCTCTCTCTCTCTCTCTCTCTCTCTCTCTGTGTGTGTGACTATCATAAGAAATAAAAATAAAAAATAAAAAAAATATGAACAAGAATGTTAGACTATAAAGTATCCAAAGCTTCTCAACCTCTGCCATACTATGAGGCAGGAGGCTGAATTAAAAGCCTTTGAAATGGGGTTTTCATGTGGAAGAGGTGCCTCTTGAAGGGGCTAGTATAGTGAGGAAATTCATGCCTAAGTGACCCATGGGCTCAGAGATGCCATTCAGTCTCATTCTGTCATTCCCTGTAAAATCATTTCTACACACCAACCATGGTGAGGCACTGGCACTGATGAGGCACTCTGTTGGCCCTAGTTTGCTTTTTGTTAACTGGTGTTTCATCCACTATATATCATTTACTTGAAAACACAACTTCTCCCTTTAACTTCCAGACAAAACTGAAAATTTGGCATAAGTCAGACATGTTTCAAAAATACTAAGTAAGGGGGCATCTGGGTGACTCAGTTAAGTGTCTGATTTTAGCTCAGGTCCTGATCTTGAGGTCCTGGAACTCAGCCCATTCGGCTCTGTGTTCAGCGGGCAGCCTGCTTCTCCTTCTGCTCCTCCTTTTGCCCCTCCCCCTGCCCATGCTTTGTCTTATATAAATAAATAAAATTTTAAATTAAGGAATAGGTGAATACAAGTAACTACCCTTTAAACAGAGAGACTCAAAGTACACCCTCCCTCTGTTGTCTTTGGACTAATTTGTTACACAGTAACATATAACTAGCTAATAACATCAACATCAAGGGTGCCAGAGATGGCTCCCCAATCCTCTGTGTAGACAAGCAAGTGCTTTCAGTGATGGAAACTGAGTGGCAGGTTGGGCCAGAGGTTCCCTGAGCTCGCATAGCCCAGTGCTTATTAGAGAGGCACTGCAATAGCCTTATTTATGACTCTTCTGCCTATAAAGCCAGTACATGGTGAGTGACTGATAGGAGTGAGTGAACAAGTAAGAATATGAGTGCCCCATGGCACGTCACTCTGGTGCAGAAAAAACTCTGGAATCCAGGCTTCCCAGTTCCCAGCTTAGATTTAAACGCACCGTACCTACCACCACATCAGGAAACTTACATTGTAAGATTTGATGGTGCTGCTCAAAATCTCTGAAACATCAAAGAGAAGACAAAGTTGACTTGAGTCCCTACTTGCCCCCATCCTGGTGCCCAGATGTGGCTCTGGGAGAGTCGGCTGCCACGGCCTGGGCACCTCAGGCCTAGGTCCACCCACAGTCACACGAGCCTGCTTTTGGTCCAGTACCAGGCAGATGTGGCCCAGCTGGCAGAGCTCAGGATTCGTGGCCCGACCTACCGATGGAGTTTTCCCTCGCACATAGTTTGCACTTCTGGACCATGGAGGCGCTGCCACGACCTCCCTTCAGTGCCACAGTATCCTGGCAAGGGTAAACAGAAGCCGTCACCACACATTCATTAGACAAGATCCCATCTACCACTTAGACAGTTGAAGAGACCAAAACTCTGACAGGGAGCACCATCTGCCAGGATAAGAATCCTGGGGAGCTCCTTGAGACTGAAAAAAGGATTCCCCTTGATTTTGAACTCTGCCTCACATTCCAAAGAAGCCTGTTCCAGGGCTGCCCTTCCAAACCACAGAAAACACGGTCCAAAGACCTGAGAGATTAGGGTCACAAGCTCCCTCCCCAGATCCCTGCCTAGAGGCCTAAGTGTTTGTGTGTAGCTATCGTGGTAGGGGAAGCAGTTACCATCAGCCGAATATACTGCCACTTCTCAGAAATCTCACCACAGTTGCCACATTTCATCTTGAGGGAGGAAAAAGAGGGATTAGTAAAGTAGTTGGCTCAGGTGGGCAGACAAGGAAACGGCAAGAAAAGTGTGATGTAGGCAGGGTCAAACTACCTTCTTATCCAGTTTCACCTCCTCTTTACTACCAGCCCCAAGAACACATCTGGATTTCTCTCTGGGCACAGAACAGGTCACGTGTTTCTCCTGCAGGCTTGCCCACCCTCCTCTAAGAAGTACCCGGTCTGGCTGGACATCGAAGGCTCAGGAAGGGCAGAAATGCTCTCAACTGCGCCCACCCCCACCCCTCGTTGGGCCTGGAGCTTCCCTTGTAGGTTCCCAGTAGAAGTATTCATCACTGTTGTTACTCTACGTCCGTCTCCTTCGCTAGACTCTGCTTTCTGAAGCGGAAGAACATGAAATCCTCAAATAAACCCTGGGACTCGAGCTTCAAAGTATTTGGTAGTAAAGGTGTCCAGAACGCTTCCTAAAAGGGACAGAGCTTTCGCTGGGGTTTAGACGAGGAGCGACACAGAGCAGAAGCTACGAGATCTGGGAGAGCGAAGGGCCTCAGCCTGCTCTGCACGAGGGGCCTCCGTAGACCAGATTCGCCGGTACCGGGAGGGGAGAACAACATGAAAACGATTTCACGAGAAATAAAGCCCAATCAACAAGTGAAACACAAGGTGCAATTCCTCTCTTTACTAAAGAATCTCAAGACCCCTTCTTGTAAACCAAAGTACCCTTTCGTCTAGTGTTTCCGTAACATGAACTATTTCACGGAGGAAAAATTACAAAGGGAATTCCGAGACCTTGCCAATTAAGAATTAACCAATACACTCAGAAAAATGAACAAATTCTAGTCGGGAAAACAACATTTAAGGGTAATACATCTCCAATCTTGCCAAGACACAGATTCCCTCCTAAACCGACCAGCGCACGGGAAAGCTCTCCCGGCCCCACCCCCTGGGGCCCCGCCCCCTCCGGAGTCGCTCCCCCACCCGGAACCTCGCGGCGCCGCGGCCTCCCAGGCCCCTCCCTTTTCCCGTCCAGGGCCCCGCCCCTTCCGGAGTCGCTCCCCCTACTGGGAACCTCGCGGCGCTGCGGCTTCCCAGGCCCCTCCCTTCTCCCGCCCAGGGCCCCGCCCCTCCAGCCGCACCTTGAGGTACCACCGGAAGTCCTCGCCCAAGGGGCGGAGGTTGGTGACATTCTCCAGCGTGGCTTTGAGCTGCAGCGCAATTTTCTGTGGAGAGGGGGTGGCCGGAGAAAGGGCATCAACCGCGCCTGCGCAGCCTACCTAGCCCCAGCCCCGCCCCTCCAGTACGAGCTCTGCCTCCCTGCTCCTTCCCAGCACAAGCCCGCTCCTCTCATTCCCTCCTGGCACGAACTCCCGCCGCCCAGGTCCTCGCCACCTCCCTGTCCCCGCCTCGGCGGCAGTCGGCCTCCGCCTCACCCCCATAGTGGCGTGGCTCGGCTCGGCCCGACTCGGCCTGGCGACAGCTGCGGCCGCTGCTTTCCGGCCTGTCGTAAACGGTAGGCGCCGCCGGCGTACCGTGCGGGTGCGGATCTCCGGCGTGCGTCGAGGGGGCGGGGCCTCCACCCGTGGCAGCTGCTTCCCTCGTGGGCCGGCGTTTTCTCCTTCCCTCCTCTAAGTGGACCGGCGGGGTCTCGTGAGTCCACGATGAGCCTGAGCTCAGACCCGCCGAACCTGCTTCCGGGTGTTCGCTGAACGCCGGTGTCCTGGCGGCACCATGCTAGCCTGAGGGATAGCGTAGCAAACGCGACGTCCCTGCGCGAAGCCTCTGCCAGGGCTTTCCCTGCCCCTCAGTTCTGTCTGCTGGCCCTTCCCTCTGTCTTCTGCCCCCCAACAGCCGCGCGGTCCCTCAGACGGCGTGGGTTCCCCTGCCCGCGGCCAGCTTCGCAGGCTGGGGGATGGGCGCTCCTCTCTGAACCGCCCGCCCCCTTTCCTTCGGGGGGTGCCGGTGATCGTGTCTCCGCCGCGGCCCCGTCGCCGGATGGTCCCTGGGCTCCCGGTGTATGCTGTGCACGAGCTGAACCTGGGCTCTGTGCCGCCGTCCAGGGCACTTCTGAGGCCGCGGAAGCCCGCAGCTCTCGGGCGCCGCTCCGCCTTTGGGGTTCTCACGCTGGTCCTGCCCTCTTCACCTCTGCCTTGGCTGCCTGGGCACTATGTATAGAGGGGGCACCTGGACTTAGGAACCCTGAGGTCTCTGGTCCCAGATCTGGCCCCGAGTTCCACACCGTCGCCTTTGAAGGGGGCGGACGGTGTGTAGGGGCCGGGGCGGGGGGCGGCAGGACGCTGGCCTACCTAAGGGTAGGAGCTTACCCTGATCACCTCCCCTCAAGTCAGACTCACCACGCCCAGCGCCTTCCTTTCAGTGCCCGCAATCTGGTCAAACAGCAGTTTGCCTAAGCAGTGCAATTTAGCAGCAAGAAGCTCCTGCAGATCTTCCTGCTGAACAAGTTCCCAGACTCTCCATGCCAGCTGGTCTCGGTTCCTAATGACTTCTGGTATTCGGATTTTAACATTTAGTTATTTGAGAGAGAGCGAGAGACAGAGTGTGTGCTTGTGAGCATGAGGAGGGGAGGGGCACAGGGAGACGGAGGAGACTCGAGCCCCCAGCTCCACCCAGGACCCAGAGGTCATGACCAGAACTGAAGGCAGACCCTTCATCCACTGAGCCATGCAGCCACCCGGTATTCTGATTTTAAAATGGATTATTAGAAACCTCTGAGACCAGGCATTTTAGCTCTTACATTGTAATGAACCAAAATGTTTTCCTCCATACTGAAATACCTAAAGATGTATCTTTAAAAGAGGATTAAAAAAAAAAACAACCACCCAACCTCAATTATCCCAACAAACGCGGAGGGAGAAATTCCATTTCACACCTAAAAATTTTGCAATACTTCATTAATGTAAAATATCCAGTGTTCAAATTTCCTTAATGATGGCGATTTTGTTTTTTGAATCATGAACCAAAATAGGGTCCAAATATGTACTGTCTTATTTTTTTTAAAGATTTTTTATTTATTCATGAGAGACAGAGAGGCAGAGACACAGGCAGAGGGAGAAACAGGCTCCATGTAGGGAGCCTGACACAGGACTCAATTCGGGGTCCCCAGGATCACCCCCTGGGCGGAAGGCGGCGCTAAACCGCTGAGCCATCTGGGCTGCCCCTGTACTGTCTCTTAAATCTCCTTTAATCTACTGGTTCCCACACAATCTATTTTATGTTTGCAATTTGTGTATTGAAGAAGCCTGATCCTCTGCCCTGGAGTTTCCTTTGGAAATTGTTGATTAGATTTGTTGTATTTTCTAACCCTTCTGTTCTCTTATTTCTGTAAATTGGTAGTTATATCACAGAGTTCATTAGATTTTTGGCAGTACCTCACAAAGGATGTTAGTGTTTTAAAAAATAATTGAGAGTTCACATGTTCAGGTCTTTATAAAATAACAAGAGTGCATTTTGTTATGTATTTATTAAAGACTACTTTATAGCTCATAAAAAAATATTGCCCTGATATACACAAAAATTTCCTGATAATGGTAATTAAAAACAGGTACTTCCAATCCCCCTTGTGTCCACACCAATTATCAATCTAGATTGGCTTAATCTTGAAGTGTAATCCAATAAGACTGAAGACCAAGCACTTCAGGTCCTGGACAAGATAATAAAATACTCGTAAGCCTTCTGGATCCCTATAATGCAAGAGGAAAAATAGGTTTAAAAATCTGGAAAAAACGTTAAAAAAAAAACCCAAAAAATAAAACCTTTAGTAACCCAGAGTATTTACATAAAGCAATTTACAGAATTAAAACTTCAAAAACAACCAAGTGTCCATAAAGAAATAAAAGGCTACATGCTATGTATCAAAATAGACTATTACGAGGTCATTTAAAATGTTTTTAATGGGGACCTACTTATATTAAATGAAAAAATCATTATTAAAGATAACATTTCTGATTTCAATTATATTTTTTGTGTTTTTTTAAAAGTTTTTAACACACTAGAACTCTGGATACCAATGGTTGTCTAATTGATAAGTTTATGGGTGATTTTCCCCTTTTTACTTTTCTGCATTTTCTACAGAAAGCATGTATTACTTTCAGAATTAAGTAAACTTTAAAAAAAAAAAAAAAGAGTAGTATTAAGCAGGTCCAAGAGGCTGAAGATGACTATGGTACAACTGGCTAAGAACAGGAGACTGTCCAAAGGAAGACAAGCTAAGCGCATACTAGAAGTAAGCCACAGGGGTGCCTAGATGGCTCAGTGGGTTAAGTGTTTACCTTTGGCTCAGGTCATGATCCCAGGGTCCTGGGATCAAGCCCCATGTCGGGCTCCCTACTCACTGCGGAGCCTGCTTCTCTCTCTCCCCCTCTCTCCTGCTCATGCTCCCTCTCTCTCAAATAAATAAAATCTTTAAAAAATAATTTAAAAAAATAAAAAGTGAGCCATATCTAATTCCAGATCCTCAAAACACAGGAGCTAGAGGTTACCAAAGTCTTTTTTTTTTTTTTTTAAGGTAGGCTCCATGCCCAGGATAGAACCCAACTCGGGGCTTGAGCTCAAAACCTGAGCTGAGATCAAGAGTCGGATGCTTATTTAATAAACTGAGCTATTCAGGAACCCCCAGAGGTTGCTAAATTCTAAAGACTCTTTGTAGCATACAGATTCATGCCTCAACTTTATAATTTGCCCTGCTGACAACATGAATTTCCAAATTTGTATTCTAAAAACTTTTCAAGTTTCACCATTGTCAGACTATAAGATGTGCTAGTCTGGCCAACACTGAAGGTATTCAGATCAACCCAATGACTCCACAGTTATCTCAAGCACCTGTTTTGACATATTTCATTTTCTGTTCTGGCCAAATTCTTATTTTACTCCTCCTACGACATTACCCTGTGTGTAACAATGACTGAAAAAAACATCAAAAGCATCAGACCAAGGCCTTGAGAATAATTTGGGAGTCTCTCTCTAATGACGAAAACAAAGCTGATGCCTTCTGTTTTGTTTTGTTTTAGATTTATTCATTTTAGAGAGCAAGTGAACAAGCAAGAGCGAGAGAAAGAGTGGGGAGAGGGGCAGAAGAAGAGAGTTTTAAGCAGACCCTGTGCTGAGTGCACAGCCTGACATGGGGCTTGATCTCATGACCCTGAGCCGAAACCAAGAGTCAGATGCTTAACCAACAGATACACCCAGACACCCTTTCTGACTTGTATTTGTACCAGATCTTACCATAATGGTTCCAGTATGGTTCAGAATTTCATAGCAGTCTGCTTCAAAACAGACACATCTAGATATAAAGGTCATATACACTTACTTGGATTGATTGACATCAATAAGAGAACCAATTTTTGATGTTGTAAAAGAAATGTGTTCATCTCCAATGACAATTTCAAGCTCCTAGAAGCATTAAAAACAAACAAAAAAACTAAGTCAAGCCAAGTTGGATTTTTCATCAACCACATAGAGGATATATCATCTGTCAAATCATACAAACTTTATAACAGCCACATAAACAAAGACCAGTTCACTCTGAGCACTAAACTGTACTGGGTCTAGAAACAAAGAGATAAATACTGGTGTAGTCCTTGAGTAGCTTATACTCTTGGAGGAAGATGTGTATTGTGAGGCCCTACCATTTCTGGGATTTGGAAGAATTTACACATTTCATATAGGAGTTTTCATTGTTAAGCATGTGGAATAACATGTATAAATCTTGTGTTTTAAAAATACCAAGAATTTAACCTTTCTGGGCAAAATGGGACAAGGAAAGGAATTCTGGATCTTAGGTTTGATCCCAGCTTTGTCACTATCAGCTGTATGCTCTTGGATCTCAATTTCTAAATAGTGACACAAGTACTGCCAATCTTCAAAAAATATCTATGAAGGTGCTCATTGTGTGCCGGCCATTATTTTTGGTACTTGGGACATATCAGTAAAACCAAAGGTCTCTGCCCTTGTGAAATTTACAATATAGTGAGTCCTTTTTTTTTTTTTTTTTTAAGATTTTATTTATTCATTTATGAGACACACAGAGAGAGAGAGGCAGAGACACACACAGGAAGAGGAAGAAGCAGGCTCCATGCAGGAAGGCTGACATGGGACTCGATCCCGGGTCTCTAGGATCACACCCTGAGCTGAAGGCAGACATTCAACCACTGAGCCACCCAGGCGTCCCTCCTAATTCTTTTTGATTTAAAGTTTTTAATTAAAAAAAAAAAAAGTTTTTAATTATGAAAAGAAATCTAATAGAATATATAGGAAACTAGGAGACCAGTGTTCTTAACAACCAAATATTAATAGCTTGTCATACCTCCCATTCCATTCTCCTTCCCGCAAGTTTTTTAGATTTGGTAATATGTTTTTAAGTTTTTATGTAAATGATCATACTATATGCATCCTTTCCTCTTTTTCATTCAATACTGTTTTTGTATGTGATCTAGTTCATTAATTTTAAATGTTTTAGAATATTCCATTCATATCCTTATTGAAGCATACTTAAGTTCCTAATT